AGAAAACAGCGAATAAAAATTATCTTTCTTAATCTGTTAAAGAACATCTATAAAAAACCTACAAGTAACTTCATAATAATGAAACATTTTGCTTTTTCCTAAGATTAGTGATGAGATAAAGATTTTGGCTCCCACCTGGGACAACTGCTTTGGAACAAGTGAAGAAATAAAAATAAAATTAGAAGGCGTAAAGACTGGGAAGGAATAATTAAAACTACTGGTTTTAACAAAGAGCATAATTATATGTAGACCAACCTTTGAAATCTACACACCAAAAAAAACCCTAATAGATCTAATAGACTAATAAATCCACACATATAGTCAATTGATTTTTTGCCAAAGTACCATGTCAATTCAATGGGGAAACAGTCTTTTACAAACATTACTGTAACAGCAGAGTATCTCTACAGAATAAGCAGAAAAAAGAATCTCATCCTTGCCTTTTTCTGTATACAAGTATTAATTCACAATGGACCACGAACCTAAATATAAAAGCTAGAAATATAGATATTTCATAAAAATACATAGAAGACTATTTTCATGCCCTTGGACAGGCAAAAAAATATATTATTAGCTAGGACACAAAAAACACTAGCTATATGTGAGATAAATTGATTAATTAGATGTCACCAAAATTTAAAGTATCTACTAAACAATAACATCGCTTAAAAATGAATAGATAAGCTGGAAACATTCTCATTTTACATCTATCTGGCAAACAACGTGTATCCACAATATATATATATAAGTCCTACACATCAACAATATAAAAAGAAATACGATTTAAACAGGGCAAAAGATTTTGCCTTCACTAAAAAAATATATGAATGGCCAATGAAAACATGAAAAGGGCTCAACATCATTAGCTGGGAAACTTCAAGTTAAGACCATCGTGATACTCATCTAACACCCATGAAAATGATTAAAATATAAAGAAACTTGATAATACCAATTACTGGTGAGACAATGAAGCAACAGAGCTCTCATACACAAGTGGTGGGAATGTAAAATAGTATAATTAGTTTGTGAAACAATTTATAAGTTTCTCTGAAAGTTTAATATGCACCTAGCTTATGACCACTCTTAAGTGTCAACCAAAATGAAATAAAAAACGTATGTCCACAAGTATGTTCATAGAAGCCATATTCATAATACCAATAAACAGGAAACAACCCATATGTTCAGTAACAGGAAATACAAAGCAACGAACTACTGACTCATGCAAAACACAGATGAATCTTAAAAATATTATTGAGTAGAAGTAGCTAGACTCAATACCATATGACTTTACTGATATGAATATAAAGATATGACAAAACTAATCCATGGAGTTAGAAATCAAAACAGTATTCGCCTGGTAGCACAATGGAACTTTCTGGGGTGATGGAAATAATATCTGTCTTGTTTTGGCTGAAAATTACACAGTGTGTTCAACAGTCAGAAATCATCAAACTGAACACTTAGGATCAATGTTTTATTGTATGCAACACAAACTTGATTCAATTATAAATAATTGATATTTTTCTTACAATTCACAGTCATTTTCACCATGATTGTGTGGCAGACATTCAACAAGTTTTGGCTACATTTGTTTTATTCACGCCACCTTGTATAGCAGGAGAAGTATATATAACTCTCACGGTACAGAGGAGGAAATAAGGTCAGTGGTGGTGCTGGTGTGAGTATCCAGGTCTTCTGGTGGTTTCTTGACCTCATTATGAGTGTACAGCCCTGAATCCTGAGCCACTGCAGCTGAGAAAGCCCTTGGGGCCCAGCTTCTCCATCCTCCTATTTATCAGTTGCAGAAACTGAGCCCAGGGAGCTCAGGTGACTTGGGAAGTAGTTTGTAAGTTTAAGAAAAGGGGTAATGGAGAAAAGAGCTCAGCAACTTCAGTTTTCCCCAGGCCAGCCCTATCTGAGGTCTCTGAAGTGCTTCTGTCTTCCCACATATTTTCACAATTGGCTCTAAACCCCATCAGGGTTAGCAAGAAGTGTTTCTTCCTGGGCTATATACACGGCTCCCATCACACTCTTCTCCCCATCCCTCCCAGAGAGGCACTCGGCATACATTCAGACAATGTAAATATTGAATACTTGCAAAGGAGCTTATAATATACAAGGTTAAAACATATTTTAAAATAAGAAATATGGGGCAAACTGAAGCCAAGAAAGAGATCATTACAAATTCCATGTAATGATGTTCTATGTGCCTGTTGTAGAAAAAAACCAAATTTAGCTCTGTGCTTTCAAGTAGCTACTGTAAAGAAGAAAACAAATCAATCCCAAAATTTCCTGTATCCGTAAATCAAAAACACACTTGCCATTCTAGATGGATGAAGAAGCAAGGATAAAGACACATCTATTCCTGAGATTGAGACTGGGGATAATTTATTCTTTAGTGGTCCTCATTGAGAGAAGTCAGAGAACATAATAAACATTAAAAGAAGTATAGTGAAGTGTCATAATAATAACTATTGCCATTTATTGAATTCTTACTCTGGTCCAAATTTTTTTTAATTTGATTAGCACAGAAACTTCAAGTTAAGACCATGAAGTTAAGACAGAAATCCAAAGTGTTTCATATTACTAGTTATTTTACTTAAAGAAACTAAACTTTGGAGAAGGTAAGTATTTTCTCAAGAACACACGGCTGGTAGGCCTAGAGAGGATGGCTTGTTGATTCCAAATACTGTGATATCAACCAGTTAGCCATACAACACCTTTTTCATTGACCAATATTTTAGTAATTCAACAAAACTAAATGGTAATCTACAGAAGTAAGGTAGCCAGATTTAGCAAATAAAACTACAAAATGCCCAGACAAAACGAATTTTGGGCCTTCAGATGAAAGTTCGCTGTCTGAATTCAACCTCAATAGGTGTCCTGATATTGCTTTTCTTTTTTCTTTTTTCTTTTTTTTTTTTTTTT